AAAAATAAAAAGACAAAGAGAAACTCCTTCCAAAACTTACTATTACATATATATCTTACTGGTTTTTTAGTTTATTTAGTTCATTTAATTTAGATTTTTTGAGAAGAAATCTTAAAGAGAGGGTTTAAATTATAATGTTACACGTTGAATACCACCATGAAGATGGGACAATAGAATTACTTAATATTCCTATTACACAAACTCCAGAAAATGATATTTTGAGAATTGCAAATATTGCAGATCCTGAGAATTATGAAATAATAACAAAAAATAATGAAAAACCAAAATATGTTGATGGAGAATCATTAATTTTGCATTTAACTATAGAAGAAAATGTTAAAAGAGATATTAATGTTTTTCAACAAATTGGTTCAGTTTTACATAAACAATTAATGTTCAGTTTAAAATCAAAATTTATTGATAAACAATACATCAACCTTTTTATTGAATATGGAGGAGTATTAAAATTGTTTGATTCAATTGCTCAATCTGAAGGAAATACTCAAAGTTATGCTTTAAATGCATTATTAGTATTAATGTCAGATGAAACAGGATTTAATGCTGTAATTCAATGGGAACATGCTAGTGATATTTTATATTCATTATTAACAAAAGACACAGCTGCAACTATTTCTCGTCAAGCAGCAGAAATATGTACTGTATTAACTACTTTTTGTGGTTCTGATGGTATTGAAGAAGCAGCTGGAAATTTTGCTACAAAAAATGGAAAAAGAAAGTTTGAAAATTTAGTAGAGTTAGCGTTGTCTGGAGATATTCAAACATCAGAAAATGCAATGCTTCTTATAGATTCATTAATGATAGGAGAGACTAAAGAAACAATTATTTTATTAATTAAAGAGTTTGATGTTTTAAATAAACTAAAATCTTGTAATTCTGAAATTATTCAAAGATGTTTAAAAAATATTAATACAGAAATTGTTGGAGAAACTGGAAAAACAAAAAAAGGATGGGATGATTTAAAGTTATTAAGACCAGAAATGAATGAAGTAGAAAATGAAAGAATTTTATTAGAAAAAGAATATAATAAATTATATAATGAATTAAAACAATTAAAAGAAAAAGAGAGAATTATTAAAAGTGATACTGTAATGAAAAATACTCAAATTAAAAAACTTGAAGAAGAAGAAAAAGAATTAAATAATAAAAGTATTCTTATTGAAGAAAAAATGAATAGTATTTTAGAATATCCTTCAAGAGAAACAATGATTAATGAAATTAAAAGTAATAAAAAAATTATTGATAGTTTTGAATTTGAAAGAACTTTATTAAAAAATAAACTTGCTGATATGGAAATTAGAGAAAAACCTCAAATTCAAATAGAAGATGAAATTACTAATGTTTTTGATGAACAATTGACTAATCCACCACCACCACCTCCTCCATTAATGCAAGGAAAAGGTCCTATTAATGTTGAAGGAAAACATTGTGTTGAAGGGTATTTAAGAAATGCATTTGTATTATTACAAAGTAGAATTAATGTTTTATTATTATTAAAAAGTATTAATGGAGAAAATAGAGATGTTGATGAACAAACAATGACAATTGTAATGAATATAATTAAAAGAGCTAATTTAAAAGACTATGAAAATATTACTTCAATTCAAGAGTATTCTACACTTGACCAATATGCTCTTAAAATTTTGAAAGAACCTTTTATTAGTCAAAAAATTCAAATTACTATTCAATGTAATCAAGTCCATAATAAATTAGATGACCTTTTAACTCCACTAAGAACAATAGATGCTGCTTGTAATGCAGTAAGAAAATCTTCAGCATTAAAACCTGTACTTGCAACACTTTTAAATATTGGTAATTTTGTGAATAGTGGTTGTAGTCAATTAGAACGAGCTGATGGATTTGGGATGGAAATTCTTCCTCTACTAAAATTTATTGGATCATCTCAAACATATGCTGAGTTTTTGACAACTTCAGTTGATGTTAAAAGTGTAGAAACAGAATTAAAAGTATGTTGTGATGTTAATGATGATCTTCAGAATGTTGTTAATTCATTAAAACAAACAGAGACATCAATAGTTGGAATTAATAAAATTTATGCTGATATGATTTCATCTGGTAATAACTTTGATTCTATCAAAAAAGAAATTGAAATCATTACTAAAAAATCTAGAAGTTACCTTCAAAAAGCATCTCAAACAGAAAAATTATTCAAAGAAACTTTATTCTTCTTTACTGCTGATGAAAATGCTTCTAATATTTATACTACTTTAACATTTTTTGGTATATTTGCTGAGTTTATTACAGCACTTACTCTTGCTGCTAGAGTAGAAGAAAGAAGACAAAAAATTATTAATGAAGAACTTAAAACAAACTCATACGCTCCTGGCTCAAATGAAGATCCAATGACCCAAATTATTGCACAATTAAAGTCTGGGCAAATTGGAAAACAAATGCTAAAGAAATAATTATTTACATTCATTGATATTACATTTTTTATTATCTTTCCTAAAAAAAAATAGGAAAGTTGAGTGGTGTTTTTATTGAAAGGGAAAAATTGTAAATTTCAATTGAAAATATATCCAGCCTCCTTAAGAACATCAAAGATTTTATCACGATGCTCTACTCCATAACATTCCATTTGAACATCACATAGACATATTCCAATAGCAGAAGTTGCTGGTCTTCTTGTTGCAACACCAACAACAGTTGCTTTTTCTTCAGTAATATGAGCAAGAAGATCCTTAATAGCACCTGGAACATCTGCAATTTCAACAGTAAATTCAACTTTTCTTCCTGCCTTAACAAGACCTCTTTCAATAACTTTATTGATAACATTAACATCAAGATTTCCTCCTGAAACAATACACACAACATTTGTATCTTCAGTAAGTCCTTTAATCTTTCCAGATAATAATGCAGCTACTGGAGTAGCTCCAGATCCTTCACTTACTATTTTACATCTTTCTAACATCAATAACATAGCTTGTGCAATACTCTCTTCATCAACAGTAACAATTTCATCAACATATTTCAATAAAACTGGTGCTGTCTTATCACCAGGTGCTTTGACAGCAATACCATCAGCCATAGTTTTTGCTGTCTTAACACAACAAATCTTATGTTCTGCTTTAGAAACTGCCATTGATGGACATTCAGCTGCTTGAACTCCAATAATTCTAATTTCTGGTTTAATTTGTTTAGCAGCAAAAGCAACTCCAGACATAAGTCCTCCTCCTCCAATAGCTCCAATGATAACATCACATTTTTCTAATTGTTCAAGAATCTCAAGAGCAATTGTTCCTTGACCAGCCATAACCCATGGATCATTGAATGGATGGACAAATGTTTTACCTTCTTCTTTACATAATTGCATAGCATAAGCTAATGATTCATCAAATACTTTACCATGAAGAACAACTTCTGCACCATAACCTCTAGTTGCAGTAACTTTAGCTGTAGAAGCAAATTCTGGCATAACAATAGTAGCTTTACAACCTGCACTAGTTGATGCAAATGCAACACCTTGAGCATGGTTTCCAGCAGATGCAGCAACTACACCTCTTTTCTTTTCTTCTTCAGTTAATGTAGCAATTTTATTAACAGCACCTCTAACTTTGAATGATCCAGTCTTTTGTAAATTCTCTAATTTTAAATAAGTTTTACATCCAACTTTCTTAGAGATAGTATTTGAATATTCTAAGGCAGTATAATAAGCATATCCTTTAATTCTTTTAGATGCAGCATATACATCACTAATTGTTATTGGACATTCTGTATTTGGAATATCTCCAACAACATCATGTGGAACCTTTAAGTATTCACTTCCATTGGTTGTAGTAGACATGAAGAAAATGAATAATAAATAACAACAGGTTAATGGTTTTAAATCAATGAAAAAAAGAAACTAAGGAGAGACTTTCTAGAAGAAAGTAGAATAATAAAGATTTAATAATTATTTTAGTTGTAAGGAAAGAATAGAAGTTTAATTTTTGTTTTATTTAACTAAAAAAAAAAAGGAAATTTGTTAAGTTAGTTCAATGATAATAAAAAAGAAAAAAACCTTTGAACTAATTATAATAATATTAGTTTAATGACCAATAAAGTCCTCACTATAAGTTCTTATGTTTGTTCAGGGTTTGTTGGAAATAGGTGTGGAATGATCATTTTGGACTCTTTCCAAATTCAATCCATATTTGTTCTTACTACACATCTTGCAAACCACACTGGTTATCCTGTTGTTGGAGGAAGTGGGGTATTACTTAATGATTTTATATCAATTATGGATTCATTAGAAGTTAATCATTTGGATAAAGACATTGAATTTCTTGTCACAGGATATTTTCCATCTTCAGATTTAGTTTATGAAACTATTAACCGTGTAAAAAGAATTAAAGATAATAAGAAGGTATACTTTTTGTGTGATCCAATTCTTGGTGATAATGGTAAGATGTATACTAAGTCTGAAGTTCAAGATTCTATGAAAGAATTAATTAAATATGCAGATATTATTACTCCAAATGCAACTGAATTATCTTTTTTGACGGGACTAGAAGTTAATTCAGTTAGTGAAGCAATTAAAGCATGTCATATTCTTCATGAACAAGGAATACCAGTAATATTAGTAACTTCAATTAAAGAAGGAAATGATATTATTCTTTTATGTAGTTTTAAAGATACATTAAATAATAAAAATTTTACAATCAAAATTCCTCGTATTGAAGGAGATTTTACTGGAGTAGGAGATACTTTAACATATATTTTATTAAGTTGGATTATTAAAGGTATTCCTTTAGAACATGCAGTTAATAGAGCTATAAGTACTCTTCAAACCATTCTTAGAAATACTGTTGGAACTGCAGAAATTAATATTATAAATTGTATTCCTTATTTAAAAGGAACTGAAGAGTCTTTTACAATTACTTATATTTGAATTTACAAAGTATTTTTTAAATTCTTTTCTTTTTTAAATGAAATTAAACATAACATTTAATAATAATAATTAATAAGAATTTTATAACAAATTACTTTTTTATTTCATTTTCATTAATTGATACATCTCTTCCTTTCTTATTTGATACATATTCACTTGAAATTTCAGAACTATTTATTAATGAAAATGAACTTATTTTCTTTGAATCTATATCCTGTTCAGTAGAATGACTACTTCCTCCTGTTTTAGTTGAACTTTTCTTTGTATTTATATGTGTTAAATTAACAACAATAGGTAATAAAAGGTTTCCAGCTTCTTTAAATGTTGGACGTTCATTAGGTTTTTGTGCCCAACATTGTTCAATAATTGTTTTTATCAAACAACTGTCTGAAATATGAAGTCTTTTTCCTGAACATACATATTTTAAAATTGATTCTGAGTCAGGGAATTTCATTGGATCATATGGTTCTTTTCCTAACCAAATTTCTAACATACAAATTGCAAAGGAAAATACATCTGATTTTAATGTCATTTGTTCTGACTGGAATATTTCTGGTGCCATATACATTGGTGTACCAATATTTTGTAAAGCAATATTTCCTGAAGATTCAATGAATGACCTTGATGTTCCAAAGTCAGTAACTTTAATTGTTACAGCATCATGTGGATTATTTGAATAAACTAAGATATTATCTGTTTTTAAGTCACGATGTACAATATCATTTTCATGTAAATATTCCATTCCACGTGCTATGTCTTGACAGAATCTTACTTTTAAAAATTCACTCATTGCATTTGTTTTCATATATTTTCTTAATGACCCAAGTGGACAAAATTCTGTTACTAAACACAATGTATCACTTGATACTACACTTCCTATGAAATTTACAACATATTGACATCTAATTCTTTCCATCATTTCTGCTTCTTGCATGAAATTAGGTAATAAATCATTTAAATCAACTAAATCTGTTTTTAATACTTTAACTGCAACATCAACCATTCTCCATTCTGCACGATAAACAATACCAAAAGTTCCAGATCCAATAGGTGGATGGAATAAATTAATTTCTTCATAATCTAATTTAGTAGAAAGAGCAGATTCAACTTGAAGGTTTAAATAAACATGGAATTTATGAATACCCTTTAGTCTGTCCTCTTTATTTTTCTTTGATTTACTTTGACCGCTTTCATTTGAAATCACTGAATTATTCTTTGTTATTCCATGACCTTTATCTGTAGAATGACTTGATGTAGTATCACTTTTATTTCTTGGGTCATCTGAAATATCACTATTTTGGCTTGAATTAATTTGTAGTACTTCAGGATTATTCTTTTCTATTTCTTTTAAAATAGATTTTAATTTACCATATCGAAGTGTTACTGGAACACGTTCTTTTAAAATAGTAGTACATTTGACTATTAAATTAACCGTTATTATAATAGAATCTCCAGGTCTGACTGTCCCAATTACTGGACTAAACATAATATCATACTTTGGATATTCTCCACAATGAAATGTAAAATAAAGTACTTCTTTATAATTATTTTTTAATTCAACAGTTGTTTGAACAGGTTCATCTACTTCCATTCTATTATCAATATCCTTGAAACTGATTGAAGGATTATCAAATTCAAAGTAACTTGTATTTGTTCTTATGTCAATATATTGTGAGTTTGTTTTATTAAAAGGAATAATTGTACTTTCCAAAAATGGTAAATCAGTTTGTGCTCTCCATTCTTCTTGAATTTCTAATGTTAATTTTTTATATCTAAACATTATAATAAGTAGTAAGCTTAACCATAATAATATATATAAACATACTCCAGAACTTGTTTCTATCTTTAAAAAAAGTCCAATTTCTAATGAACGGCAAGAGGTATCTCCAGTTTTGTACCATCCAGCTTGACACTCACATTCATAACACCCATCTCCTCCATCACACTCTTCTCCATCATTAACAATTTTATTCCCACACATTACGGATAAACAAGATTTTCTTGGTGTATAATATGGATTATATCCTTCTTCACAAATACAATGGTCACATCCAATGCCTCCATCACATTCTTCTCCATCATCAACAATTCCATTTCCACAAGTCTCTAATGAACATTTAGTTGTTCCATTTATTAACATTGGGATATATCCATAATGACACATACAAGTATCAATGTCACATTTAATATCATCCTTTTGTTGAGAAATATCACAGTCTTCTTCTTCATCAACAACCTTATTTCCACATAATGTACAAATTTCTCCTTTTTTAATATATCCATTAAGACAAACACACCCTCCTGAGGCTGTGCTGCAAATTCCATTTTCTCCACATCCCATAGGACAAACAGCTTTAACATCCATTCTTAATTGAACTTGTTGTAAATTATTTGTTGTCAAAAATATAAAGTAATTCTTTCCTGGTTTTAAAGAAATTATAGCTTTTGAATGATAAGTATCTCCATTCTCACAACTCTTTGAACCAGTAACAACACATTTTGCAGTTGGATTATCTTCAGAACAAGATAATGTTGAATTAATAGATCCAGAATCAACTTCTATCACATTAAATCCAGCATTAACACCATTTTCAGTATTACATGTAGAAATTGATATAGATTGTTCAATGCCTCTGATCAAGAACCAAGAACCATATTGAGGAGTATTAATACACTTATTAGTAGAAGGAAACATGTTTGACCTTTTCAAAATTTTAGTACTTGATCCATTTATAATATCATTCCAAAGAATTTCTTCATAAAATGAACCACATGAATTTTTTTGAAATGTAAATAAAACAACAGGATCTTTTGTAAATATATCAGAAAATGCCATTGAAATAAACACATATTTTGGAATTCCTGGAACGACATGAGTAATAGCATGAGAATCAAGAATATACCAATCAATATCATCATTCTCAAATTCACAATCTTCAGATGTATTTGGTTCTAAATCATCTCTACAATTGTTTAATATTATAATTCGTGTATCTTCTCCAATGTCTTTTCCTTGAAGAATATAATAATCAATAACATAACTAGAATAATGTCGTGTTGTTTCAATAGATATAAACCCCTCTTCTTTTGCATTAATTTCAAACCAAAATCCATATGAATAAGGGGTTTTTGATTCAAGTCTATCAAAACAATTTTCTACTGATAAAACTGCTTCACTCTTTTTTAAATGTAAAGTTTTAGATGTTCCACTAATAAAATCTAATTTACGAATATAAGTTAAGTCAGTTGCTTCTATAACATTTTTACAACTTCTTACTGTAGCTTTTAATTCATCAGTCACTTTAATACATTTCATAAACCCTTGTTGAAAAAATCCATTTCGACATCCATGGCAGTCTTCATAATATCCTTCACTTACATTACATTTTGAACATGATTGTGAAGCATCACAACCAGTCAAACATCCGTCAATATCACATTGTGGATTACATGCATTTTTTTCTTTATCATAAGAATATCCATATTCACATTTACAGTTTGAACAAAAAGCAACATTATCACATTCTTCATAAAATAAATCTCTTTCCCCATCACCACAAATAGCTTCTTCACTGTAAACAAATGAAATTAAATAATAAATTAATATCATTAAATTCATTGTATATGGCTTTTAGTAGTTCTTATTACTCTTATTTGAGTCATTTATTGTAGAATATATATTTAGAAAACTGACAACAAATACTTTATTCAAATCTTTAAATCCTTTTCTTTCTCTTTGAAGTCTTATCTTTAATAATTGGAATATATCTAATTATAACAAAAAACTGTCTTCTTCATATTATCCTAAAATTGTTATTTCAATAAAAATACACTATTCTCTCTATTACAATAACCTATACCAAGAACAAAATGATTTCTTTATACTGAAATCAGTCTATATAACAACAAAGCATGTTTAAAAAATTTCTTAATAAATAAATAAAAACAAAAAATATAATGTTTAATAATTTAGTAAATTCTCTTTGACACGCAATGATATTATTTTTAGAATACTTGTTGTGATAAAAATAGTCAATAACGTTGAGATAGTATTTCCACACGAAAAAGTAATCTTCTACATCACTTAGTAAATATTTGACTTATGTCTCAATTTTCCTTATTATAGCACTTATTACTTCTTTCTTAATAACTTAAAATAACCTAAAAAATAAATATTTAAACAAAAAAAAAGTCATACATATTCATTAATTATATAATTGATTATTAAATGTTTTAATGTCTGAGTGATTTCGGTTATTTTTTGACTTATTACTAAATAATTTCATTTAAATTTACTTTCTTTTCTAAAAGAATCATCTATTTTTTTTTTTTGTGATTTTAATTATCCTCCTTCTTATTTTTTTTATTTTTTTCTTATAAATTTTTTATTTTAAAAATTTTATATTCTCCATAAAAAGAAAAATCAACAAGACTTATCCAAACACAAAATATTATTCTTTCCAAACGTTTAACTAAAAACAATCCAAAAAAAGTATTTAATCCAATAAACTAATAAAATCCATTTAAATTCAATTATATTATAAAATACTATTTTTATCATTGAATCTAAACTTCTTTTAACAAAACTAAAAGTTTAAAATATAAAATAATTTACTAATAGTTTTATTTTTATAAAATACTCCTACAAATCATTATCATTAACAGTTGTAATAAAATTTATTTCCTTTGTTTTAAAATTTCTTTAAAATTACTATATCTCAACCAATTTTAAAAAAAAATCCTTATAAAACTTCTAAAATGTTATTGAATTAACAAAATCTTTTACATTGAACTTAAATTCATTTGAACTAAGTAATAATCTCATTTTGCAATATAAGTCAAATAAAAAATTAAATCACTTATTCAATTGTATTATTGGAATGAATTTCATATTAATAAAGAAAGAAATCATTTTGTAAAAAACATTCTATTTTATCTTCAAAAAAGAAAATTAATATTAGTATCTCTTTTTATAAAAAAATTATATCATTTCACTTTTCTTTTTCCTCTTTCTTATTAAAAAGGAAAAAAGATTTAAAAACCACACACCACTATTTCATTCAATTCTTAAATTCTTAAATTCTGACTTTTGCCATTTACCTGAAATTAACTTTTAATATATTTTTGAGATATTAATACATCTCAATTCTTAATCTTTTTTATTTTTTATTTTTATATGAACTATTTTTAATTAATAAGAAAACTAAAAAATAAAAAAACCATACAAAACCCTACAACTAGAACAAAAGTTGCATTAATGGCTGAAACCGTCGCTCAACCAGTTGAAGCTGCACACACTTTTGCACCAAAACTTTTCAATAAATGGAGTTATGATGTTACCGTTAGTGATATTTCACTTAAGGAACTCCTTGCCATTAATAGTAAGCTTAAGTATCAAGTCTTCCTTCCACACACAGCTGGAAGATATCAAATTAAGCCATTCAGAAAGATTCAATGCCCAATTGTTGAAAGATTAGTTTGCTGTATGATGCAACATGGAAAGAATTCAGGAAAGAAACTTCTTGCTATGAGAGTTGTTGAAGAAGCCTTTGAAATTATTCATTTATTAACTGAAAAGAACCCAATTCAAGTATTAGTTGATGCCATTATTAACGCATCCCCAAGAGAAGATTCAACTCGTGTTGGAACAGGAGGAAATGCTAAGAGACAAGCTGTTGATGTTTCACCATTAAGAAGAATCAACCAAGCCCTTTATTTAATGACTATGGGATGCAGAAGTGCAGCATTCAGAAACTCTAAAACTCTTGCCGAATGTCTTGCTGATGAAATTGTCAACGCATCTAAATCTAACACTGCTTCATTTGCCATTAAGAAGAAGGAAGATATGGAACGTGTTGCTAAATCTAACAGATAAAACTTACACTCAATTGACTTTTGGTGTGATATTATTTGATTTTTTATTTTATTAAGAATGATTAGTATTTATGAAAGGAAAGATTCAATCTATATTTTTTGACTATTTTAATGATTAGTTTTCAAATTCAAAGCAATGAAAAGAAAGTCTGCTGGAGAAGTTCAAGCTCTAAAAGCCTCGATTCAGTTTATTCGTACAGGATTTGTTTGTGTTGAAATTCTTAAATTAATGGAAAGTAAAGGATATAGTTCAGTAAGTATTTGGTGTGATAAAGAAATTAATGAAATAAAAATTATTATGGATGAAATTCAAGTTGATGAACAACAAATAAATACATTATTAAATGAAGATATTTTTCATGAAGTGAATAGTATTAGTAGATGTTCAATAATGACATCTCTTTTGTCTCAAGAATATTCGTTTAGATACATTTATGAAGTTTGTTTTTTCAATAGTTTTCAAAAGAGATTAATTATGAAGAATGGAAGATGGAAAAAAGAACGTTTGAAACAGTACCAATTAAATAATCAATTAGTTGTTTGTCTAGAAAAATTATTTGAAAATACTCCTGAAAGAAAAGAAACATTCAGTCAACTTATTCAAGACATTATTGGATATCATATTATTCATTATAAAATTGGAATACAAATCAAGTGGAATAATGAAACATATTGTTTATTAGACTCACAACCAACAATGAAAAAATGTTACGAAAATATTTTTCATTATCAAATGAAAGAATTTTCAACATTATATTCATTTAACTCAATAACAATTTATGGATTACGTTATTTATCAAAAGACATGAAATGGAATAATACAAAATATCATTATATAATTATGGTAAATGATTATTTAATACACCATAATTCATTGAATCAATTGATCAATCAAATTCATTGTAAATATTATGGTATTTCACAAAGTCATATTTTAACACCTCCTTTTTTCCTTCAAATCAAAATTCCATTCTTTCATCCACAATATCCATTACATTTTGAAGATGAAAATAATTTCTTATTATGGATAATCAAATTCCTCTCAAATGAATTTTTATCAGAACTATTGGTATTACCTCCACCAATTACACAATACCCATTTTATTCACATATTCAATTCCAACATCCAAAATCATCACCTCCATCACCAAAGAAACAAAGAATTTTTGCATTAAGTTATTCAATTCAAGGAAGAGAAATAAAAGAGAAAGAAACAACTAAAATACCACAAATAAATAAAACAAAATATGGAATGAATAGACATAAACCTTCTAAAAGAAGAATAAGTAATAAGACAATATATTCTATTGCTATACCATATGTACATTATAACATCATTTCATTACAAGAAAATATAAAATATTTTAGTCATATAATACCATCAAATAAAATTACAAAAGATGACATAAAAAAGATTCAAGTAATTGGACAATTTGGTAAGAAATTTATAATCTGTTTAAATAAAAGAAATGGATTGCTCTATGGATTTGATCAACATGCTGTTCATGAAAGAATTCTTTTTGAAAAAAATTGGAGAATGTTAGAACAAGAAACAAGTACTTGTCTTCAATCATTTCAATGTTCATTACATAAAAATGTAAATTCATCTCAATTACAAGTGTTACAAAAATATAAATATCAATTTAACAAGTTGAATATTAGTTATTCCATCCAATATAATAAAGTATATTTTAAATCATTTCCAATTATCTTTGGAAAACAACTTACCTGCTCAGAAATTATGGATATTGTAAACCAAATAGATATTTGTAATGAATTTCCAGGAATTAAACATCTTTCAATTATACGTCATATTGTAGCATCACAATCATGTAGAAATGCTATTATGTTTAATGACAATTTAACATTAGAAGAATGTAAAAAATTAATAAGTCAATTGTCAGAATGTTCATGTCCATTTATATGTGCACATGGTAGAATAAATGTTGCACCATTATATGATTATGTCAGTTTAAATAAATAATAAATAAATAATAAAATGTTAAACTGACATTTTCAACAGAAAAAAATAAGAATTGAAAATGAAAAAGATAATATGACAGAAACAACACACATTGAAGAAATTAATCGAGGGAAAACACCAACAGAATTGAATGATGGACTTGATCCAGAAGAAGAACAACAATGTTATCAAGGAAAATCAACAACAAAAGATGGAATATATATTGGAACATATAGTTTTTTTATTTGGTTAGGATTGATTATTGCATCAATTCTCTTTATAATTTGGCAAATTGTACCAAGAAAACTAGCGGATTCACTTGGATTAGAACCATTTTTTACATTAATGCCTGATCAGTTTGTTTGTAGTAGAAGAAAGAAATAAAGAGAAAGTCACAAATAGATATTGGACATTAGTCATTCCAGCAGGATTTGTTATGGGATTTTTTTGTATTGTAATAGGGTATTACGGAGTGATGGAGTTTTTTGTAGTTGATCCAAGAAGTCCATATGCATATACAGATGAAAGAAAAACAGAAGTAACAAAAGGAGAGGGAGAAAATAATAAAGGAGAAGAAAATATACCACCAATAGAGGATTGTGAAGTAAATAAAGTATCAGAAATGATATATTCATAAAGAAAAAGAGAAGAAGAAAAAAAAATTAAATTTTTGAAGAGAAATTTGTTTTTAAAGAACAAAAAGAAAAAATATAGGAAAAAGATAGTAATTTTAGTAAAAAGAGAAATAGGGTTGGAAAGAACTCAAATAGAGT